TACCTTAACCTTGTTATGTATATTGTTATTTCAAGGTTTATATTTAAATCATTTTTAAAGCAAACATAAATGAAAAGTAAATTAAAAAATCTGAAAACTTTCAGATTTTGTATTAACGCTAAAAAAACGTTAAAAACGTGACGCTCAAAGCGTCACCTTTTCAACGTTTGGTTTGTTACCTTTATTTATTATATATACCATGTTCTTCGCACTTAAACCACATAAAATTCAATTCAACAGCAACGTCACAAAATATTTTAAAACGAAATATCTTTATAATTTCCGATAAATAGTGTCGCGCGCTAGAGGTAAAAATATTTTATTCCGTACAGTTGTAAAGACATTAGGTATTTTGGGAAACAGGAGAGATGAAAAATGAGCAACGCTTTCGCCGGGAATCGAGCGACGGACCTCTGGAATGCGCGTCGAGCATGCAGACCAGTACACCACGAAGGCACGCCAAGAAGGCGGGAGAAGTACCTTATACAGTATTGCCATTGCTCGCTTTGAAATTGATCGGTTTGTTAATCAAAAATTCGTTTAAGTTTTACAAAATATGCAAGAGATAATAAAACAGATTGAAGATTCAGAATTCCGGTGTTCGGGTGGAGTATTACGTTATGCAAAATTTTATGGCTCTGGGTACCATCATTTTTTCACAGTGCGAGAAACATTCATATATTCATGCATATTCTTCATTATTTAATTTCCTTGAATGTAATATAGGGCGATAATATTTGGTGGCAACGTTTGAAAAATGATTTAGACTTTCATAGTGATTCAACACAAAATGCTGTTTTGAAACTGAATGCTCTTCTGCGCTAGTAAATTTCTAATTTAGCTATTCTCGTAATTTTTGGAATCGTAACTTTTAAAATGTGTCTAAAATGCAATTGAAAAATTAATTGTATGTATTGCAAAAGGGATGCTTTACAATTACTTCAAGCAATATCAGTTATATTCTTAAAGAATCTACGTAAATTATCAATATTCTTAAGATACTTCGTAAGTGCTTATTTTAATACCGACACTGATAGAAACGCTAGCGCAGACCCCTGTGATCTTTATAGTCGAATGTAGGTTTAACTATGTGGGCTGGGAGCTGTGCCCCTTTCAGTTATACATTAATTACTAGTAGAAACTTTACTGTAATACATATCTTTATTAATGTTTTATCCTTCACAACTTCAGTATTTTGCTGTGTTATAGTTTGATGGATTTGAGTAATAATCTGTTTTTTAATTTGATATATTAATGTAGATAAATTTATTGTTGGCGGACAGATGAGATCATTTTACAATATTTCAGAATTTATATTTTTAAAGAGTCAGTTTACTGAATTTACAAATTCAGTTATTTCTGATGTAAATGCTTTTCATGTGTTTAACTTAAGTTACTATTCGTGTAACAGCTGTTGTTGCTGTTTCTAATCCCCGAGGTGCTCCAACGTTTAGGACAATTCCATAAGTCTATGAGTCATGTGCGTAACAACTACAGATTTTCAGCATGAAAAGGAAAATTAAAAAAAAAAATCTGATGTGTACACCCCATGACTTCCTTGTACGGAATATTAAATTATACGCATTTTCTCTTGCATTTTATTTAAACTTATTAGATTGAATTAAACCTACTTCGCCGACAGCGCATAAATCACAATAGAATAAATGCATTCTTTAAAATTCACTTTGTTTACCATAGCGACACTCTGGCGCTAGGTTTACTTAACAGTATTATATTTCATTCATATTATAAATCAGAATGCACAAAATGTATATCATTTAAAGAATTATCTAATCGTTGCCACATGTTCTATTCAAATACTATAATAAAGCTAGAACTATGTATAAAAGAAATTAAGCAAACAAAACAAAAAAGAAACAGTTTTTCACAGACGATTGAGTATTTCTCATTTAATTCATTCAGTTCTCACTTCGTGAGAAGGCAAAAATACATAAAAACTCAAAATATCTATATTAAAAATTACGAAGTAAATCTCAAACGCTTATTTCCTCGAAAAAATTCCAGAAAGGATTAAACATGATTTAATTGGCAATAATAAATGAATGCGTTATCTTTGTTGTTGCGAAGCTAAGTTTCTCTAGATTGGCAACAAATCCACTAGTCTCCTGTTTCAAATGTAAACATCAATGGCCGCCATTAAAAAAGGCTTAGCGGCAATTAAACAACTTTAAAATTGCTGATAATTCTAAAAATATTGCACACAGATTTACTTAAGGCATAAAATCCTTAACCGGAAGATAGAAACAACATACTTCAATCGAAAGGCTATTTTTAAAGCAAAAAATGTACAATTGACAAACATATAAGAGTAAAGAAACTGAGATCACTGAGCCGGGTAACAGAGTGGATATATATATAAATATATTTATATACGTTTGGTGCGGCCGATTGCAACCAAAATACGAGGTGCACATCTACATGTTATAGGAGTCCTATATACAAAATTTCAACGTTCTGAGGCTACTCGTTTTTGAGTTATGCGAGATACGTATGTACGTACGTACGTACGTATGCACGTACGTACATACGTTCGTACGGACACCACGAAAAATTCTCTTCAGAATTAATTTTAAAGCAGTTTTGTAATTTTTTTGAAGGAAAAGAGTATTTTATTCTGTCCTTACGTACAGATATGTCGCAAAAACATCGTTAAATTGCATTCGATAGCGGTCAAAATGGATATTTTCGTTGAAATATGCTGCCTGAGACTTTTCGCGATTACGATACTTCCTTTTTACTTCGTACAAGGAAATAAAAATCTGAAAGCTTTCAGGTTTTTTATTGTGCCCAAACGGGCGTTTTTTAAATTTGGGGGCTTACCTTTATTTATGAAATATGATGTTCTTCGCATTTTAACCACAAACTTCAATTCAACAGTAATATCCCAAAATAATTTAAACAGAGCATATCTTTAGAATTTCCGTTACACAGTCTCGCGCGCTGGAGATAAAATGTTTTCTTTCTTCCGTACAGTGTTATTATGGCTCGCTTTGAAATCCTTGAGTTTCTCAATGAAAAACTCATAAATGATTTACAAAACATGAAATCGATTTTAAAAAATCAAAATTCGGGCTTTCAGATGCCCATATCCTTGTGGAGAAGTACGTTATTCAACATTCAATGGCTCTAGGTACCGTTGTTTTATCACAATGCGAGAAACATACATACATTTATGCAGATTCTTCATTATTTAATTTCTTTAAATTTAATAGAGAGTGATAATCTTTGGTGGCAACAATTTGAAAAGTGATTCATACTTTTAAAGTTTTAACGCAAAATGCCGAAACGAAATTAATAGCCTTTCTGGGCTAAAAAAAGTCTGAAAGCTTTCAGATCTTATAATTTCCGAAAGGGCCGTTTTTTAACATTTTGTGTGTTATCTTCATTTATTAAATATCATGTTATTCGCAGTTAATCCATAAAATTCAATTCAACAGCACTATCGCAAAATAAATTTTAAAATATGCATATCTTTAGAATTTCTGATCCACAGTCTCTCGTACTTGAGATAAAAAGGGATTTTTTTTCTTTCCGTACAGTGTTGCCATTCCTCGCTTTGAAATCGTTGAGTTTATTAATTAAAAGCCAATATTCGGTGAACGATTACGTTAATCGAATTTTGAGGTCTCTACGTCTAACATTGTGATGTTTTATCACAATGTTAGAAACATACATACATTTATGCAGATTCCTCATTATTTTATTTTTTTAAATATAACGCAGGGCGATAATATTTGGTGGCAACAATTTAAAAAGTGAACCGACATTTCAACGCAAAATGCCAAAGCGAAATTTATAGCCCTTCTAGGCTAACGCCCTTTTGCCCAAAAAAAATATAAAAAAAAAAAAAAAAAAAAAAAAAAAAATCTGAAATGTTTCAGATTTTAAATTACGTCCAAAGGGGCGTTTTTTAACATTTTGTGTGTTACCTTTCTTTATTAAATATCATGTTCCTCGCACTTAAACCATAAGATCCAGTGCAACAGCAATATCGCAAAATAGTTTTAAAACGAGCATATCTTTAGAATTTCCGATACAGAGACTCACGCGCTGGAGATAAAAATGTTTTTTCTGCACAACGTTGCCATTGCTCGCTTTGAAATCCTTGAGTTTGTTAATCAAAAATTCGTCAAAGTTTTTAAAAATAGGAAATCGATCATAAAACAAATTTCAAATTTCAAATTTGGGTCTTCCACATGCTCATATTCGTTGGAGGATTACGTTATTCAAAATTCGATGACTCTATGTACCGTTGTTTTATCACAATACGAGAAATATACATACATTTATGCAGATTTTTCATTATTTAATTTCTTAATATAATGCAGGACTCTAACATTTTGTGGCAACAGTTTGAAAAGTGAACCGACATTTATGAGTCCGACGCAAAATGCCAAAACGAAACTAATAGTCCTTCGGGATTCAAATCCCTTTGGACTAAAAATTATGTTTTATTTTTATATATGAATCATAGCTAGTCGAATATTGATTTTTTTAGGATTAAAATGCCATGTTTATTAAAATATCATGAATCCTGTGTTATTTTCTTGTACCATCCAGTTGATAGATTTTTTTAGAAGTAAATGCATACGGTAAACAAGTTATCTAAAGACATTTTAACATATAAATTCCCACGCAATACAAAAACCATTTTTATAGAAATAGTTGCAGTCTGTTTGTGCAGGCATTTTATCACATTATTGATTTTTAAATGGCCATTTACCATAAAATTCATCTGCAGTATATTTTATGTAATAACCATTTCCACCTACTTGTTTGCATTTTCTATACCACCGAATTCGTATTTGTGCTCTTTAGAATTTTTACGTCCAAAAACAAACGTCGCAACATATAGTTAAAAATATACGATTGGAGCACCCTTCGGGGATTGGCAGAGAGTTCTGTCTTCTCATTGGCCAGCTGGCTCAGGAACAGGGGGCGGCGACATACTTTATAAACCTTTACTATAATACTTTAGTGTCAGGCCAGAAGTCGTTTCCGGTGACAAGTGGACATCATAGGTGTCATAGCATCCATGCTGTGAAACTTCTTCTTCACTTACAGTAGGTAATAATTTCTTCAGTCAAAAATAAAAGAATTAAGCTAGCTTTATTAAATTTTGAAAAATGTCTACAATCTTGCATACTTCATATTTCGTAAATTGATATTTGTTCTCGATTCAATAAATGTATGAACACACATTTTAGAAACATTTAGAAATCAAGCATTTTAAATGAAGTAGAATCGTAAATTTTAAGCGGTTGTCATTTTTATGAATGGTTATGTTGTTATTTTTGTGTACTTATTAAAATGAATCTTTTGGGAAGGTAATGGAAAGTAAAATATTTTTTAGCAAATAGGAGAATGTGTGACACTTGTTAATAATTACTGGTAAATAATTTCGAGAAATCTGTTTTAAAGAATATGTTTCTCCATATATTTAAAATTTGCATAATATAGTGATACTTAATCTAAGCAATTTTCTTTTGATATTCGGTAAAGTTTCCATTCGTTTGATATTTAAAATTTAAAAATTTAAGTTACCGTGTATATTTAGGAAGCGAATAATTAAAAGTTCAAGATAATTTTTTGAAAACATAACAGCTATTAGCAGAAAATTTCATTTTATTTAATTTAAATTATTATATTATCTTGACAGTTCATCTAAGCAATTTTCTTTTATTATTCGGTAACGCTTTCATTCATCCGATATTTAAAATTTAAAAATTTAAGTTATTGTGCATGTTTGAGAAACGAATAATAAAAGTTCAAAATAATTGTATTCAAAAATTTTATTGGAAATATAAATTTATTAGCAGAAAATTTTATTTAACATTATTTATGATTTCTGATGGGTTAAAATGCATTAGAACTTTAGTATTTTATGGTATTTATTTATGAAAATGTGTTCTAAAAAAGCGATCATTATAATAGTATTCGAAAATATTTATGTTTGTAAATGTGCAATTAAATTCATTAAGCATCCATAGAAAAAAACTAGAAGGTTTCATGTAAATACCTGTTATTAATTTGTTATGTAAACTTAGATGTGAAATCTGCACGTATTTTACCAAAAGATGTTCGCTTTTATATTTTATCATAGATATTCAATATGGCACTCTTTTGTTCTTCTTAGAAACTTATGCCTTTATTTGATGAAACAAATTCCACATTTTTAGTATGAAGTTTTATTATCTGAATGAATAAATAAATAGGAAATTAGGTAAATAATTTCTTTCTGACAGTTTTTAATTAACGATATTTCAGTTAAACTTAAACATTTTAAATTTAAATTAAGTTAATTTTATTTGTAAGTGTTTGTAATTTTATTTGTAAATATTTAAATACCGTTACATTATTAATTAGACATGCAAATAGTATTTATTTTCTTAAATCTTTAATAATTGTTATTGATAATCTAAGATATCCTGAACCAGCTATTTTGATATAGAATTAAAAATATAGAATATAAAATATATAATTAAAAGAATAGAATTAATAAATTTAGTTAAAATTGTAGAATTAATAAAATTATAGATAAAAATTGTAGAATTAATAAATTATAGATAAAATGTAGAATTAATAAATTATAAATAAAATTATAGCATTAATAAATAATTTTTCATAACAACTCATAATAAATGTTTTGTATTTTTTTCTCTTTAGGGGCGGAACCTATTTAAAAAAAAAAAAAAAATTCTTTACGATAAAAAGGAAATGTTTACAGTAGATTTACAGTTAATTTGAAGATAAAGGAATTAAGATATTACAGTTAACTGAAAAACTAGTTTGCGATTAGTGGAAAAGTGATTTGAGATTTACTGTTCATAGGAACTCAGACTATATATATATTTTCTTTCATATGATAAACGGTTTACAGATACGAATTTTATTAACTAACACCTACCTGCAGATTTGTCCTTTCTAATTAAAAATAGTAACAACAGAGGTAAAATTTAACTGGCACACATGTTCTATATTAATTGAATTCATATATTGATAGTAAATCAGAAGGTAAAATTCCCTAAAGTTGCGAAAAACATGTTTATTTTTTCCGAAAAAGTTAGATCACTACGTGCTATGAGTTATTTTAATTATCTTTGCCATATCTCGTCTAAATTTCATTGTAGATAAATATAATTAACTGTGTTTAAAACTGAACTCATTTTACTAAGCTAAGTATTATAAATTAAAGCAAATTTGTTTTATTACATTTAATTATACTGGCATCAAATTTCAATTAATTGTGAATGATTAAGTCTCAATTGATCTAGACTTTAAGTTACAGAATAAGATGGAAAGATTAAATATTGCTCCTTTTTTTCGGTTTATTTTTAAATTTCTTCTTATAATCTGCAATAATTTTTAATTTTTATTAGTGAATAATTTATTTAATGTGAAATCTATAATAATTTTCTAGTTTTGTGCTTGTAATCTATTAAAACCATTTTAGGTATTTCTAAATTGAGTAATTTGAAGAAAAGTTTTGTTTGAGAATTTTGCATGAAGCAAAGTTACAAAGATCTAACTTAGCTCTATATTTTAAGGCTGGATTATAACATGACTGGGTAAATTATTCGTATCATAGGTATTACTTAAAATCTTTAAGTGTTTCGAAGAAACACAAGCTAAATTTGCTGTTGACTATAACGTATTTTAAGAACTACAGTTTACATTAGAGCTTCAAATGCCGCCCAGGAGGAAGAGTGATTAGCGATGCTGACTGCCGTATCTAAGGCTCCGGGTTCGGAACCCGGAGAAGGCATGGAGGTTTGTAAATGTATAGTATATGTGCGACATGGGGACACTCAGAATATGCGGAGAACCGAAAGTTTTCTCGAAAGGTAGATGGTAGGGGAAGACCAATGGAAGATCCTGAGATGTGCCCCACCTGGGGGAGCACTCTTCAAGATTTTGGCGGAATTGAGCATAAAATGGACTTTCATCTGTATGGTGCTCAAGGCTCTGGCCAACGACAGACACAAACTTGTACTCCTTGCCACGATAATAACAGTAACAAACATGGGCATTTTTACATAAATGAAATATTTGTTGTAAAATAATAATTTACTTAATTCTGTACATCAGCTATGCTGTACATCTCTAATGCTCATTTCATGTATCAAATATTGTAAAGTATATAGACCGTTCTTAGTACATGAAAAATGAAGAATCACTTATGGCCGCGTCAAGATTTCCGAAGAGCACGCAAGGGGGCAATGTGATAATTCTTTATATTCTTCTTTGTTTGAAAAGTGACCGGGAAGAATTTTAGTCTACCAAATTCGGGCGGTGAGGAATTATCGCCTTACACTTCACTTTCTTCTCAGACATCATTGTATAAAACCATTGAGCTTTTAGCGGCATCAAATGTGAAAGATCATCTATGCCCTCGTCGGAATTAGAACCATGCATCTTATAACTGTAACCGGATCTATCACAAGAGTAAGCTGAGGGTCTGTGATAGGGTGGGTCCTCAGGGGTGTGTAATATACGGTTAATAATGCCATTCGTTGCTTTCATGTAAGAAGGGATATGGGACAAATGAAACTTCTCTTGCAGATTTGTGTAGCTAAAAGAAATACACAGTAGTTTTTTTACAACTAGCTATGCTTGTTTGTTTAAACCCAATGGTCAGTTTTAGTAAAGTGATTATCTTAAACGATTTGTCCCTATTACTAGCTAAAAACAGTTAAATTATGTTAATCTAACCAGTTATTTTATAATTTAATTCTTAACTGTTACTTCTCTTTCCGTTTCCCTACCAGAATGCAAATTAGATCAGAGCGTATTTCTGCCTCTCGAGGCCACTTTACTAGGTTAGCTAACTCAGATAACATTGTATTCTTCGGCTTTGCATTATAACTGTCGACATTTAAATTGTTATGCCGGTGAGAAGTTTTGAGCCAACTTCGTGTTAAATCTATCGCGCAGTCTTTTGCTACTAGACTAGTTTTAAATTTTAATATGCTGTTACTTTGAGTTACATCGCTACAAATGGTTAGCTGATTTGTAAGAATGAGTCGGACTTACAGATGTTCCAGTGTTCCAGTTCTGATTTAATAAAAAGGTTTATTCTAAAACTTTTTAAGACTTCGTAGTTCTGTTCAGACAAAGCGATAATTCGCTCCAAGACTGTTGGAGTCTGGACTTAGTTTTCACTAGCAAAGAAAACTAATAAAGGGCTCAAAAAATTAATCCCCAAAAAGTTGTTCACTTAACTTCTTTTCTCTTAATTGCATCTAACCCGTTTTCTTTGCATGATAGTTTATTTGCATGGACTCAAACATGAGTAATACTTCACAGGCTTGAAGTCAACGTTGACGAACTTTCTAGTGACTTAAAATGAGTATTAGCAGCATTGCTATTAAAACCTTTTGAGTGAGAAAACTGTTTACCCACGTAATTTGGTATCGATTTTGCGAAACTACCAAAGGGACATAGCGATCAATACCTACAATCAGAGGTTCGAAGAAAACTCTAAAAGAATAGAAGAATAAATTAAAATTAGCAGAAAGGGATTTTTGAAATATCAAAACTATTTATAAGCAATATATGTTCATGCCATGTGCGAATATTTCATAACTTTCTTGTTATGCTTTACGGCCAAGTGTTCCCCCCCCCCAATGGCGGGCGCTTGCCTAAAACGGCATTGGCTCCTTCTAAGGCCAAACGAGGTGGCCATTTTATTGTGGTGGCATGTAATAGGTGGCCAACGTTACCTCCTATGTAGGAATAAAAAATTTTACATCCATGCCTTCTCCGGAATTCGAATCCGAGCCCTTCGCTATACCAGTCAGCCCACCCCTAACCACTGTACCGTCTGGGCGTACCCCTAACCACTGTACGACATGAGCGGTACAGCCCTGAATACTGGCAATACGACCCAGGTTCAAATCTCGGCGAACAGGCTAATGGGAATTTTGTAATTTTCCCTGTATGCAATATGAATGCGAGCCATTTCCTTTAAAAAGATCCTCCATGAAGGCACCCGCTTCCCGAGACAGGTATCCTGTAAGTGCTTTGCTGCGATCTAACTAAGCCAATTCAATTGCATCAAATT